GTGCTAGTAATATTGGGGCGGTCACCGAGACTCACGAATTGCGCGGCAACTTCAAGACCGATATGGCTGGCGCTCTTTAGCTTCTCCTTGCGACTCTTCTCACCTTCCGGTGTAAGTCGTAAATCGTCCATACCGCAAGTGAAAGCGCGCATATTGAGGTACCGGGTAAGCAGACGACCAAGACAACTGAGTAGCTTGGCGGCAAGTTCAGGACCCCAGATCTCATGGATAGAGTGTATAAATCCGCCAGCACTAGGACCTAGCTGTGACTTATCAAGAATACCGGTAATGAATTCGCCGTCGCTAAATAAGACATTACTCTCTTCGAGAAAGTTGCCCCAGGATGGTGGTTTTAGCTGTGATTTTCCGGTGAGCCAGAGGTCGCCGCAACCAGCCGGCTTCATGTTCTTCAATATGGTTGTAATGACCTGTTTTCCAGTCCAGCGCCTAGCAGGCTTGAAGATAGCCGGCGGGACAAGCTCAAGCCTCTCAGATGTGATATGGCCGCTCTCAGGTCTTAACGCGCCATATACAAGCTGCTGATATGCACCTTTGTCGAAGAAGGTATCTTTATTGCAGAGCGCAACGGATACAGACAAATGGTCCTGGATCAGACCTCGCAGAGGTTTCCCGGCGGTAGCTGATAGATATTGATGGTCGGTATCGGCAATCTTTAAAGCTTCTGCTCGAGCAAGTTCGTTTTGAGGGAAGTGCATATTCATCTCATCACCATCGAAATCTGCGTTGTACGTGTTACAATTTGCGTAGTGCATGCGAATAGTCTTTTCCCCGGGTAGGACTCTGGCTCGATGACCCATGATGGAAGGCTTGTGAAGCGTGGGTTGACGATTCATCAACACTACGTCGCCGTTTCCAAGATGTCGATGGACTTTTTTGCCTTTCACCCCGGCATACTCTTGGCTTGTCGGCGCGAGAAGTTGGTTGGCTAAGGCAACACGGTCTTCCGCAGATTTGTTCTTTAGGTTAATAATTTGCCCGTTCTCGTTCTCAATTGCGGCGGCACCGGGCCATTTGTCGACACCATTAATAACTGCCTGTTGCATTTCTCTAAAATTATGGCTGGTTACCGGTTCCGGATATGTTAACTTTTTAGCGAAGACGGGAGGGACACCTATTTCGCTGGTCTCGATGTTGGGATCTGGAGAAATGACACTTCGTGCAGCGTAGTTAACACGCTTGCCCATCATGTTTTTTCTGAAAAGCCCTTCTTTCTTTTCGAGCTTCTGTTTGATACCGTCTTCATTCCTCTTTCCAGCGGCTCCGCGGATAGGATTTCTATCACGATCAATTAAAGAATTTACACTATCTTGCAACTGAACACAAGCTTCATGCATTTCAGACATGTCTCGCCGCCGGGACGTCGAATTGGGATCGTTTCCCTGCTGTGTGATTTCCTTATGTATCTGGGCGATGCGCGCGCAAGCTGCAAGAATTTGCTTGTAGAGGGAGTTCTGTTGCGCTTCGGCAATGCCTCCGTCGCCTTGTCGCGCCTCGGGGCGGTATTTGTTAGGCGGAACAAGGACAGTTTGGATGAAGAAGTTGTCGGCAGGGAGCTTCTTCCCTAGAGGTCTCGAGTTGTAAACAAGGCCCATTATTTCTTGCTCTTTTTCAAACAAGAGTTGGAGTCGAGCCTGTACTTCCATCGAGTTGACATAGCGTTGCTGAGGTTTGGCCGATGCGTCTTTCTTCGCCTTGGGGGCCTTGATGGTAGCATCGCCACCTTCCGACATGATCACATCGCCATTCTCGTCAAGCTCTTCGCCCTCGCCCTCTTCATCTTCATCTTCATTATTATCCTGGTCGGGCTCTCCCTCACTTGATGGTAGATCAATGTCGGCGATACCTTCGTCTGTCTCATAGCTACGCTTCTTGGTTACGTCTACCTTGGATCTCCTTTTGATAGCCAAGGCGTCTCTATGCTCGAAATTTCGTTGCGCCATTTTGGCTTGGTCCTTGGCGCTGAGTGGCTTCTCGAAGATTTTCACAAACCGGTCCTTTCGGAAGTTTGGAGATATCGCCTGGCATGTAGCGCATGCTCTGCCCTTGGTTATATCCCTGAAGAAGTCCTTAAGCACTTCTCTCCTTGCCTCGGATGCACCCTCATGTTTACCCTTCCTGATGTCGGCGGTCCCAACCCTATGGTTCTTCAACGTTGTTTGGGTATAAACCTCTCTCATGCGAGTTATCTTGTCAAGAGCCGAGCTTTCTTCTCCGTCCGAAAGATTTTCATCATCGTCGACTTCGATATCGGTAGTCTCAGCTGTAATATCGTCGAGATGATTTGCCGCATCTATAAGGCCGAATTGAAGAAGACGTAGTTTACAGGCGACTAGGCTTAAGTCGGCCCGTCGCATTCGAAAGCGAAAGCAGTATTGACATTGCGCGCGAAGTAATCTTAAAATCTGGTCCATAAAAACAGGATGATATACAGGGACTGGAAGGTCGATATGGCCGACATGGCCTGGACAATTCGGCTGCGTAAGATTACATGTTGTGCATCTACCAGTGTTAATTTCATATGCGACGCATGCTACCACCTCTGGGTTCTACTTACACTGAATCTCCCCAAGCTCCAAGAGCTGGATCGTAAAGTCCACCAGGTATCGGATTTAAAAGACTATCAAAAGTGGTCGGGTTTTCAATCCTCTTGACAGAAATAGCTTTGATCTCAGCAGGAGTGAGGAAGTCGAAGTCGACGCTGTCGATAGCCGACGGGATTGGCTGTGAGATATTCATGGCTAACGGTTTTTATAACCTCATAGCCCGGCGCAACCTTCCCAACCCGTTTCGAACTTTAAATTAGTGCCGTTCGTTAGAGCTACTAGAGTTTAAAGAGGGTTGAAGAAATCTCAATAAAAACTCTATCAACTCATGGTATTGCGATTTTCTTGTATTATATTGGAGGGCTGGTTATTTATAAGTTATAAGTCGAGGATACTGTTTTTTTAGTGGGGTTCACGATCAACTAAATTTTTGGAGCTTGAACTTTTTAGCGGTGATAGACGGCAGAATTAAAAGATCATGTGACACATCTTATCTAACATATCATTATCATCAATCAATCAATTAATCAATCATTAGTGCGACTTTAGCGAATGTGCAACTATCAAAGTACATACCTTAGGTAGCTAAAGACGTGAGACAAGCGCTTCTTTCTCCTCTCCTAGGGAACTACCAAATGCAGGCGTGCCGATCCAGCTGTGGTCTTAATTTATTTCGCCCACTCTTACCTTGTCCGAGGTAGCCTTTCTTTGTCCAACATCGAGATCATCACCAAAATACCATCCAGACTCTTCTTAGGTCAACATATGCCTGCCCACTGATTTCGACTTCACTCTTTCATCTCATCGGGCTAAAGCTATAACCATATCTCATGGAACGACACGGCTCGCCAGGCCTTGGCCCGCGTAATGATGCTGGGTCTCGAGTACAGAAACCAGAGTCTGCTACGGACAAAGCCGCCAAGCTAGCAGCATTGAAGGCACGCGTATCAGCAGCTATAGGATCTACTAAAGCAAAAGGTGGTCTGAATGTTGGTCTTCATCCAGCGTTGGAAGATATCGGGCAATGGAAGCCTGGCGGCAGCAAGACCAACGATTCGAAATCCGGATTAGGTTCGCGATCGCGGAATGATGGCAACAAGGCACAACCGAAACAGAAACCCCTTGATCTGTCGGGCCCATCGCAAGAAGAAATCAAGAGCAATCCCTATTTTGACGCGAGCCTAGGCGCTCCCGGCGCAAAACCGAGACAATCACGTCAACTCATATTCAACCAGAAAGGCAAATACATCCAGCAAGCGAATGCGCTACGAAGGCAAGCAGCGCTCGAAGCTCTGAAGAAGAAGATTGCGGAGGGTACGCGCAAGGTCGGAATAGATGAGGATAAAGATGTCGAGAAGAACTTCGTGATCGAAGCTCCTCCAGATGTCGAGTGGTGGGACGAAGGATTAATAGACGGCAAGAACTACGACGACATAGAAAACCCCAAGGTGCTAAAGATTGACACCGAAGACACGATAATTACTAGATATATCCAACACCCTGTCCCCATCGAACCTCCCCAGGACAAGAACGTCCCCCCTCCGAAACCCATGTACCTCACAGCCACGGAACAAGCCAAGCTGCGCCGACAGCGCCGAATGGCCGACCTGAAGGAGGAACAAGCCAAGATTAGACTCGGCCTCGTCCCTGCGCCGCCGCCAAAGGTTAAGAAGGGCAATCTAATGCGTGTCCTAGGCGAGGAAGCCGTCAAAGACCCCACGGCCGTCGAAGCCCGCGTGAACCGCGAGATCGCGGATCGGCACAACAAGCACGTGCAGACGAACGAGGAGCGGAAATTGACCAAGGAGCAGAAGCACGAGAAGCTAGCCACAAACCAGGAGAAGGACGCAGCTAAGGGCTTACACATGTTGGTGTTCAAGATCAACAGCCTAGCGAATGGTCAACACCGGTACAAGATCAGCGTCAATGCCGACCAACTGGCTCTCACGGGGTTAGTTATCATGCATCCGAAGCAGAACTTGGTGATCGCAGAAGGTGGCGAGTGGTCCATCAAGCACTACAAGAAACTACTCCTAAACCGCATCAACTGGACCGAGAACCTCCCATCTCGCGAGAAAGACGCGCAGAACGAGGCCTTGAAGCAATGGCTCAAGGCCGAAAACGAAGAGGGCGATCTAAAGGATCTAGCCGAGAACCAGTGCAAGCTGATCTTCGAGGGAGAAGTAAAGTCCCGGGCGTTTAGAAAATGGGGTTCCAAGGTCTGCGAGACGGACAGCGAGGCGAGGGAGGTATTATCCAAATCCAAGATGGAGAACTTTTGGAATCTCGCCAAGTCTACCCACTAGGTAGAGCTGACTTAGGTACCTACCTACCTACTACCTACATAATAGTTAAATTAATCACACGGTTATCAGGCTAGGAGGTTTTGTAATAAAACGTCGCGAATATTGAGAATTGCGAATATGATGTTGACTTAGTCTTCTTAAGCCTTGAACAATTTTGTATTAGATTAGGTATTTAACCTTGCGGTGTTGGCTGCTGGTTTCCAACGCCTAGAAGAGCCCCAAGCTCTAATGTGATTTGATTGTTATACAGAATATCGGGCTGGTGACTACCTACCTATCCGCGCACACTCGCGTTCACGCGGCGTCAAGTTCCATCATGCCCTCGTCGAGATCGTCGTCATCCATATCGAAGTCATCATTGTAGCTCTGCATAGCCTGCAAAGCCTGCGCTCTATGCATAGCCTCGATAGCCGCATTGTCCTCTTGCAACTCCTTAATCCTCTCCTCGTCGACTTTCTTCTGGTGCTCTTTCAGGTCCTCGAGACTCCACATGCTGATCCCTTCTTGGTCCTTAGATTTAAAGGGTCGCGCCATGTCTCGCAAGAAGCGCTTCGCTGTGATGACTGCCATATCTGTGCTTAGGTTCCCGTCGACTTCTTGCATGGCCTGGTTGATCCACTTGGGGAGTTGGAGTCTCTTCTTTTGGAACCGGCGGTCGGCTAGCACCATGATTCCGTAGTCGTCTTTGCCTCGGAGCACACGACCCAGGCATTGTGCGGCGTGTCGCATGGCGTCGAAAGATAAGAAGTCGTTTTCTCGGATACGATAGGTTTCTCGAAGGAACTGTAGTCTGGCCTTGAGGATACGCGACTCCGTGTATTGGAACGGAACACCGATACACAGCACAGTTCGGCCATACTGGTGGTCGAAATCGATACCTTCTGAGACCTTCCCACGCGCCACACACAGGAGGACAGCACCTCTGCCATTGCAGCAAGCCATGCGGTAGGTTTCAAGTGCAAGCGAAGTTTCTTGGGCGTCCGGTGTTTCGACTAAGATGAGCTTGTACTTCCAGACCTCGTCTAATATGCCCATCCCCTGCCACATGCTAATGATAGATTCCATGTACAAATATGATGGGAAGAATACGACCATACCGTCTGGAGTAATTCTTGCGAATTCAGTCAAGAGGTTACCGTAATTGCGGACCACACTCGGCTCATTCCTGACTGCGAAACTGGTGGAGATAGTTGCTTGGTCACTTCCTCGGGTGACGATCATCGGCAAGAAAGATCTCCTCGCTAGGGTCATAGTGTACGACTCTTGGACGACCGTAGTGAAGCCTAACATCTTCGGGTACATCTCCAAGGGTGAGATAGTGCCGGATGTGATGATGACAGAGCTAAACCTGTCGAACACGGGCTTAATAGCGATTGCCGCATCCAAGCACGTGAAATGTAGAACTGGGTTTGGCACTTCTGCAGTATCTGACTCGAAAGGTTCAAGGATGAGCAAGAATCCCTTCTCATATGTGGCAACAAGAGTCGCGAATGTAGCTACTTCTTGTAGCGGTTGATAGTCTTCGATGCTGGTTAGTTCAAGCGTCCTCACAAGGGAGGTTAGTCTTTCAGCACAGAACCGTAATGGCTTCTTCTCGATAAACGTGTGCTCCTTTAGATGTGCTAGGAATGATGGCGGTGTTTCCGAGATGACCTGGCGGACCTTCATACGCGTCTTGAGGTATTCGATAAATCGTTTTAGGAAAGCAGTAAAATGTTCAGCCCTCCGGATGTTTCCGGGGACTGCCTCCTTCAACAAGTCATCGGGAAGAACGGGGTTGGCCATAAAAGTATCCTCTTGTCGAGCCTCATCGGCATCTCGAAGGCCTTCCACTAGCTTCTGGTATTCGTTTTCCAACTGTTCTCGATCTGTCTCCTTCATCTCCTCGATTTTACGTTCCAGGTTTTGAGCACCCCTGGTGGCCTTTCGTAGGGAATCTTCTGTGATATCTGTACTCAGAGATTCGATACAGACGTTGTCTATGTTGTGGGCTTCATCGAAAACGACAATGCAGTCCTTCGAGAGCTCTTTAGATACACGTTCTGCTATCTTGGGGTCTAGCAGGTAGTGATACGAGTAGATTATAACGTTACAATATTGCATCTATAATCCGGAAAACGTGAGCTCTGTGCCTCTAGAAATATAGACCCCGGGAAGATGAACTTAGAGGAACTTACCATTCGCCTCGATGTAAAATAAGGGCACTGCTTGTGCTGCTCGCCATATCTTAGTAGGCCATCAAGGGTCCAAACGCCGTTGGGTACGAGGTTGTGTGGTTCCAGGAGATCCAGATTGTCATGGTACACGCATGTCTCAACGCTCTCGCCTTTCTCTCTCTTTTCCTTGACGAAGCCAGCAGTCAAGCTACGACACCTAGCATCCACGATGGTGCCGCTCTTTTCCCTCTTGACCGAAGGATGGAGACAGAGATTCTTACGGCTGGTCAGGCCTAGCCCTCGAAAGTCTTCTACGTGGCCAAGTTCATCAGCCCTAAATTTCATCAATGCCTTGAGTTCTGCTAGTGCCTTTTCGATCTCTGACATAGTACGAGAACAGTAGATAAGCTTTCGGTGTTCGGGATAATGTTGTTGATATGCGACGATTAATGACAGCAGCGAGACAGTCTTTCCGGTCCCCGAAGGCATCTCCAAGACGCAATGCCCGCCTGCATCTAGAGTCCTCTTCAGATCACACATATATGCATACTGCTCCGGATATATCCGTGGATACGGAAAGAGAACCGGGAGGTCGTCAATGAAGAACTTCATCTTTGCGGAATTTTAGGCAAATACGATATGGAGGTGAGCATGCAGGGTTAAAGCATGGGAAAGGGGTGAGGTTCTCTGATGCCAGGAGAAATTCGTATAAAACTTGATAGAGGTTGTCGATGGAGACCTTAGAGCATGCGTACTGGCGCGGCTGGGTTAAGGTCGTTTTCGTGGAGCCTCCTTCAGTTGCAGTCGCGTAGAAATGTTACAAATAGCATGTTATGTGCTTGGTTCGCCGGTAGCAAAGAAACTAACTCGGCTTGGGTATTTTCTTTTACTATGTTCTCAAACCAGCTTTAGACTTTTGCATGTTAATTTGTATATACGCATCGCGACGTTTGATAGCTGCGCGATAGTTGACGTTGCCAGGTAGAAGTTGACTGGCATTTGATACCGGATAAGATAAAGAATGCAGCCTGCAGCATTGTGCAGTTGGTGGCTCATGCACGCTTCTCCTTTGGTAAACGCCGTAAACGTTACCTAAGTTGCGGCTTGGAGCAGCCACAGATAATCCACTTATCAGCCCTACGTAGGTACTTCATGTATGGAAGTACCAGTTGGAGAAGATGCACTCATCCGCCCATCTTACCAAAAATACGCAGAAATACCCCTACATTGAATACCTAATGTATATCTATATATATCCAAGTCAATTTGAATCGCACTACCTATTAATTTCATCACAGGAGGTTATATTATTGGATATCTGCATCATTGGTATGCTACGTGACGTTTTAACTGCTATTTCGTTGTTGTGGACCATTTATTTGTTACCTGGCTATGCCGTCTTAAGCCACCACCAGTTTCTTTTCCGATGATAATTTAATTAACTTTGAATGGGTCTTGTAAAAAGCGCGGTCGCAATAAGGTTTTTTTTTAAACTTAAGTTGACTAACCTTAGAATCTCTAAAATCGAGATCTATGTATGGGCTTGTGGTATCGGGATGAGCCGAATCTCGACGGCGCGGGAGGCACCCGTAGATAGGTACCAACCCATACAAAACCGTCGGATTGCACAAAAGCACCATAGGAACGAGCGTCCCGATGGCGGGCAGATGCTCCCGATAGCCTCTGCCTCAATCCATGGAGTTGGGTTTGGGGTGTTGCGATTGAACCCAGATTGTCGGGATCTGGCACAGTACATACATTAAGCTTAATCGATTTCCCCTTTTTTTTTCAATCATTTTAATCTGTTCCATCCATCGTCGATATCATTATCATGAAAATGGGGATGTATGCAGTTTATCGAATTACCGACAAAACACAACACAACACGGCATAACCTCCTCGGTACTCGGAACATATATTCGGAACATTTGCGCTCGCCAAATATTTTCGAGTTTCGTTTCCGAATTTCGGTCGCATCTATCTAACACAGCGCCGATATGTCCATTTTCCGTATTTGTCCGATTTAGTCCGAGGCCGAATAATACGCGAATGCTACTATTATGTTGGTGTTGGCTATGTAACCTCAGCTCAGCTTTAGCCCTACCCGTGTTACTATTTCGAGATGTTGCACAGCTGATATTTTTTTTTTAAGAACACGCCTCACTGCACGAATTGATGGCTGACCAACTAGACGGCATGAAAATACTACGCTGCAGTACGTTTTAATCAATTCTTTGTTTCAGGTCATGCTGAAGTTTGTGAATCCTGCAAGGCTAGCCTCATGTTGGTAAGGCATACCCAATTAGCGACGATTCATACTGACCTAGAATTATATGTTATATGTATGTGGTCATCTAAAACTATTCATGTAAATAGAGTATGTTTTAGCCCCCGAAACCGAATGAAACTTGGCCTTCATAATCTGCTAGCATACAAGTGGCCAGGCCTTCCCTAGCGAACCGTATTAGTGAGTTTAGAGGAATCCTCCTTGAAGTAACCCGCACACATGTGTGGAGAGATGCCGTATCAGGACCATCTTTAGCACAGAGCAACGTATGTTCTTTGCGCCCTCAAATCCCGAGATAGGGATATGAAGCTATGTACTTGGCTACCGTAGTGTATGTGCTCATCGAGTCGACTCCATACGTAGGTAACGTGCCTGGGGCTCGGATCTCTTTCTTCGTGATGCTTCTCCGCTATCTAAAAGTCCAAGTACAGTATGAAATAGTTAAGGCAAGAGGTTGCGAGAAGTACAGTATACCATGTATATGAGATGCGTGGATCGTTCCGCCTTAACCGATTTCTTTAGCGACTAGCGGTATGCTCTGCATGTCCCGCCATCCCCGTGAAGATATGTAAATGCTAGGTACAGGGGAGGTTTGCGAGGCTAGGTCTTGGCGACCTGTTGGTAGTCATATGTATTATAAGTGTATGGGTAGCAGCTAGCTTATGAATGCACTATCTTGATATGAATAGAATGTTTTAACCAAATAGAGCGTGGGAGACTGCTTGCTCGCGCTTGTTGAAACGTTTCGAGGAACTAACAGCGAGCTATTTCTTATTCATCGTTCATAATGTTCCTGAAACGGATAGTTTTATGTAAATTTGGCTCCTTCGAGTAGCTAAGCCTCTCAGCACTATGTCTCCCGAAACGGGGCAGGGTACCTAGCTTAACTGCCGTGTGTGGAAGGTCCGCCAGTTCTTTGTTCGCGCAAGAGACGCGGCTATTGGGTAAGCATTCGAGAGCTTATGATAGACCCGCACCCCGATGAACCCGGCTAAACACGTGGGCTACGCCTAGCGCGCGGGAGATGGGGGCCGTATATATATGTGTGTAAAGAGTCTTAGGGTCTTATGTCTTAGGTTTACTCACTATTTTTTACCTTGCCCTGGTATGTACAATATGTAAGTGGGCTACTAGGGCAGTACGAGTCTAAAAGAGAGTCTTTTGTCTTGTCGTAACGTTGGTAGGATCCTACCTATCATCGTACCGCTAAAAGACGAATAAAATCAAAATACCTAGCCACGAAGGGTCGATGCTCTTGTGGTACCTGCAGTACGGTCAAGGATGTAAGTCTCAGATATCTGCAAGGACAGCACCAGAATGACATCAACCTTATCTGAGGATCGACAAATGGCGGTGCAGCTAAAAACATGCTGCTCTGTACTTACAATTACATATGACTTCATACGCCGGTCATCGATCGCCGTCCTACGAGATTTGTCATACCAAGACTGTTGAGGGTTAAAAACGAGGACCATGTAAATAGTGTAAGGATAAAATATTTGAGATACTACGTACATATCTATTTCTAGATGAAAGCTTGGCTTCGTTGATAATGTGCTGTGGCGCAGCCCGTGGAGTACTATTAAAATATTTACGATCAGGGTTGTTAGTGCTATCGGGATCTTGGCCTCAGACCTCAAAATAAACATTCCTCCAGCCTCCAGGGAATAAATAGCGTTGCGAATACACTAGCTAGCCGACGGCTCGTCTGGCGGGGAACGTTGGTCAGGTCCCTGTCTCGTAGGATTAGTGATCATTTAGTTTTTGTTCAACTTGGAACGAAAAGACCAACGAGAAGAGTTACATCGTCCAAAAAGAAGATTAACGTCTGGTGTTTTTGTATGCTGATGCTATGCTGCTACTATTATGCTACTATTAAGGATATAGCTATTTGTTCCTACAGTTTCTCATACTGTATCAGTATAACTTCTGAATATACAATACCAAGTTAGAAATATAGTTAGGGATGGGTGGTCTCATCTCGCTTCATAGTAGTGTACGTGTACGGTACACGTAAAAGACCAACAGCATTACCTACTAACCCTCAATCTAGCCTACCTCAATCACAGCGTGTTGCCACTAACGAGAGAGTTGACAATAACCCCTGGATTTTAGGGGGCTTTTTACTAGGCGTACTAACACCCGACGGCAGTGGGTTCCGCAAGTCTGTGCTTGTGTAGTGAAAGTCGAAGAATGTGGCTAACAGATCCCTGTGCGGGCTTTAGTTGCCTTAGTTAGGACGCTCGAACCAGTAGACGTCCCCTGTGTCTTATCGCGGGATGGCTATACCGGTTTTGGGGTTCCGATTCACCAAAGTACATTGCCGTAGTACACGAAATACGTAATGATGATTGGAGGAATAGAAAAAAGAGTTCCACAGCTTTTCCGCCCTATTGTCCCACGCTACCTAAAGTAGATTAAAACGTTAGCTAGGCGACGAACCCCATACTTTACCTATTCTGAGTATTCCGAGGACCAACAACACATCAGACCATGCCACTATTTTTTTCTTAATGCTAAAAAGAACACACGTCCGCGCTAGCCTGAACACGACGATAAGCGCAGCAGACGAGCCGCTGACATCGTCCTCTTAATCATCTATTAATTTTTCATTATGGTCACATTGACCCTCTTCTAGCATTAATGAGACTAATGAGACTAATGAGGCAGAGGCCTTTGATGACCTTCCTCAACCGCATGAATTATCAGCGTAAACTCGCGAATAGATTCTCGAGCTATTACATAGTATATTTCTAACCGCTGGTCGCTTAACTATCCTCTTTGCAAACCCGCGGGTTTCGTTGAATAAGAACTCTATTTTACGAAAGTGAAGGACAGGGGGGCCTGTTATAAGGGTACCAATTCTGCAGCACCTGGAGGATTCAGACCTTCGAGAAGCCGGATTGGATCTCCTAGGTGTACCTATCCGTTCGCTTGCTTACCACCTACCTACACGTGTACACTACCCTGCGCGCGCAGGTACATAACACATAAACGCTACCTAAGTAGGCTTGACGGTAGTCTACGTAACAAAAGCAGGTTAGTGATAATATTTACATACATGTTCCGAGACAATGTTGGCTCGAATATTTTATTTTTTCGATTTTCCGTCCTGGCTCAGTTTATTCCCCCGCCCCCGGCTCCAACCGCCGAAGTCGTACGGTGATATTACCTAAGTCATTCATCCGTTCTTCTTCTTCTCTTGTCCCGGTCTCCGATCTTTATTGCCTACACTATGTATGTAGTACAGGCCGGGCTGCGGGCTGGGTTACCTTACAAGTGTCAAGTGTAGTACCTTTTTTTCTAAGTATGGAAATTCCTCCTTCGTGTACCACTATAGTAACTACTAGTAACTAAGCTATGCTACGTTAAACGTACCCACGCATAGTCTGACGTTATGGTACTAATCTTTGCTGTGTATATTCCATGGTGTCTCTTGTCCCGTGGCCCCCCTGCCATCTACATTGCACCCACTACGCTTGAGACTGCCGCGCGAACATCTCATTTGGCACCACACACTCACGCACACACCCTTGTGGTTCTTGTATCCTCCTCAATTTTGATATACTACCACTCTTACCCAATATGACAGGCCGACCAGACCAGTAAAAATGGGTCTGGCCTTACGAGGACCGTGGGCTATCCCACCCCCCGGCTCCATGTATACATTAATCTTCCGGAGTCTGCCTCACATATCGCGCTTGTCGTTCGTTCCTGAGAGTCTTGTCTGCCTGGCTATGTTTATCCTGATGCAGGCATATGGAGTACAGTTTCACTCCTACGGTACTTCTTCCAACTCTCTGGAGATTCCCATTGTTACGCCAACGCTGGTTGGTACGATACGTACATAGACATACATAGTAGGGGTGTGCGCCGAGACTCCTGGTCTACTCCCCTTGTACTTACAAGGGACCAGACTGCTTTCTGTATAACTATGCTTACATCCCACGGAATGTCTCCATAGCCTTTTTTATGTATTGACACACCTTGATCACTTAATCAAGCCTCAAATTAGACTCTTATTCCGTCATACACGTACAGTTGGAAGAAGAAGACACTCCCATAGCTTCCCAGCTTCCCATAAGTCACTGCTGTGTCGTCTTCTCTCACCGGGCACGCCTTGTTGCACAACAACCAGGCTCCCCCTTTAGCTCTTTTTATACAACCAACCTTACCGTCTGTTGGAACGCATCTTGCGTTTGATACAGCCCCGATGGATCTATCACCTCCATCCTTGACCAGGTCACCGGCGTCACCTCCAAGTACAAATTGCTCCGACAGCCCTACTCTGGATTATCCCTCGCCGGAATTTGTTGACCCAATCTACAAGATCGCCTCCATGTTTGAGCAGCCTTGCGCAACCATGTCTTCTAATATGGGCTCCGAACACTCGCTCCCGCCGTTGGATGCTATGACCTCGGCCGGTTGGAGTGGGACTGCCGTAATGCACCCTAGCTCAACGTCAACGGCCCCGAACATGTCGTCGGCCGACTATGATCCTTTCGCTCACTACGAACCTAACAATATGCATGCATCGTATAGCCATGAGCTCTACCAATCTCATCATACTCACGTACCTGTGCTGTCAAGTAGTGGTACTCCTCCCATGTCTTCGGCAGCTTCTCGATCGCCAGACCCGTCCTCGAGGCACGCCTTCGGCTATTCACATAGTGTTTCGCCAATACCGCGGATCAAGATGGAGAGCGCTGCTGCTGCTGCTGCCGCCGCTGCCGATTATTCTGGAGCTGAACTAACACAGTATCCATCACCCCGTTCCGCCCACTCGTTGCCACTAGAACATAATAGTTACGGCTCGACTGCCGGTAGCTCAGGTTATCTATCAGATGTCCCTTCAGGGTCATGGCCTAGGTCTGAATACCCGTCGCTCGAGACAGACCAATACTATGCTGGACCTAGCGGACCCGGGGCAGCTTTCTCTCACGATAGGCGACAGCTACGCGTGCCAAGGGCGGCGAGGAGGCAGCCTCGAAAATTGACGACGAAGGAGGAGGCTAATTTTCAGTGCGAGGTTAAAGGGTGCGGTAAGCTATTTAGCAGGAGCTACAATTTTAAAGCGCATATGGAAACCCACGACGAGAAGAGGGAATATCCTTTTCCCTGCACGGTTCCGGATTGCAACAAGAAATTCGTTCGTAAGACGGATCTACAAAGGCACAACCAGAGTGTTCACATGAAAGAGAAGAACCACAGGTGTGATTACTGTGGCCGAATGTTTGCGCGGAAAGATACCCTTCGAAGGTAAGTCATATATACATCCTTTCTTTTTCACATAGATGCGGGGGCTCTAAAGCTAACATATAATTAATTAAGACATATGGAAGACGGTTGTTCCAAGCGCTTCGATTTGGGCACATTAGACTTGCGCTCCGACGGCTACGATGCTTACCCGGCGCCGACGAGAACGCTCGGTAGCACCCCCGGGCACCTAGTTGCTCCCGCTGCTCAATTACCGCCGATGACTATGTCCCAGGCCGGCAACGGCAACCTCTTAGCACCTATGCCTTTTACGAAGAGATGATGACTCGAACCATGATGACGATTACGACGAGGACGCGGGGGCGACAGGAAGCCATTTCATCTATCGGTTTACCATTATTATTCATTCCACTTGTACGCATATCCCGGGTGTTTACTGGAGTTGGTTCTTAGCTGGAAAACGGGCCATAGAACTTTTGCCCTGGGAGGGATGTTTTCTATCATATCGAGCATGTCATAACTTTGTTTTTGAAAGCGTGGTTTTTGGTTTTGTTTTTTCATCTTTCAACTTTCATCATTTGTATTACTAGCTAGCATCATGGAGGCTCATCCCAAGCTCACCAAGCTGGGGAGCAACTAGGCGTTCAGGATGGTTCTAGGCACATATTGCCCTAGGCTAGGAGAGGAAAACTTTTTGGGTTACTTTTTTGGTCTACGGCTTTAGTCGTCTAGAACCCAACAAAGCAACAAGATACCAATTTCATTTTTTTTGGCCATCACATCATCATCATCATCAGCCCGTCATCGTGTATACGTCAGCATACTTGGATGATTCTTTGGGATCCTCATCTAATTTTACGCTGTCCGATTTGATTATTAAACGAATGCGATGAAATATTCCAAGAGTTGACTACCAAGACTCCTGCTTCTTGGGTGACACGACATGAACGAGAAGTGGACAAGGCTCAGCCCGTCTTTCTGACGTGCATTCCTAGCCAAACAGAGAGCACTAAGCTAAGATCTCGGTACGCACCAACTACATACCAAGGAAGCACTATTACGTGATGTATCATTGAAGCAATAACGAAGTTTAGTCAGGTTAGTCAGGCTAGCCTACCTAACATACCAATGGCCCCTATCAGAGCTCGTACGGTTGTGGCGTCCTTCCACAGATCATTTATCTGCAGTTGGTTCGCTGGTTCGCTGGGTAGTTTCCAGTCACAAAAAGAAAATAGTTAAGACAATGTAGTATTATAGATGCATAACTAATGGTTACCAATGCAGGGACTTACATCATGTAGGCACCCACTTAGCTGGTAGGTCGTATGCAGAGCCTACCAGCGCAGTGGGTATCATCGAACCGTAACTATGGCTGCTGCCGCGATCCGTGGTACTCCAACAAAAGCGGTATTGTACCAGTATGTATCAGTAATCAGTATTGTACGTAAGACTCCAACGTCCCGCCAAGGTACGCATCGTACAATATAGCACAATTTATTTCAAAAAGTACGTGATAGGTACCTAGATTGGCAAGATAGGTGACAAGGTAGGCAATTCGAATGACATGGGGGCTCAACTATGGCCAATTAAAAAAACATATTTCCGATCAAGGATTTGTTATCTAGTTTCAAGATGAGAATTATCCCCACGACGGAACATGACTCGTAAATATTTATTTTTATATCTTTATGTAGTAGAATTAATGAGATATCTCGTCATCCTACCAAATGAGACGCAGAGAACTGTAGGCAGGAAGCACTTATAATGTAAGTCGTATAGAAACTTACATAGGGTTAACCTGGAACAAGAACACCCATTACGAAGATAAGAAAAGTCCGTTATGTGTATATTAAAATACTCCCATACATAACCATCCTCGTAAATTGGCTACCAATTGGGTACCTATAGGATGCAGACCTATATAGTAGCACCGTTTTTTAAGACCTTATTTCCAAGTATAGTAATGTTTTAATCCCGCTATACCGTATAGAGAGTAGCGTCATTTTCACATGGGGCCGTAAGCTTTAGGACCCATAATACTAACGTGTGTGGGGATAGATATAATTTAATTGGTCAGATATTAAAGACCCGTACATAAATTCCAATAGTCTCCCGTAAATTATTCTGTACCAGTACATACGATGAGAAAATGTAGGCGACATTTTACGAGGAAATCCTCAAAGCAAAAGATGATTCCAAATGCAAGCTTGTTATTTCCTCGATGGGGATAGTATCATGCTGTACCTGCGGCTCCGATCCAACTTTACGGACCCACTAGCCAATCCAATACATCTGCGGCTCCGGTCCGAATTTGTCGGACTGAAGCGGACCCCATATTTATGTCGCACATAGAGGAATGCCGCAAGCTATACCTATGCTGTATAACGACGAGGCGGAAAAGGACAATAGGAATATTTGGTAGTACGATACCTATCACAAGTGAGCTGACGCTTCATGCGTTGCGACTATGTATGCGCGCAGGGTATCACAACACACAATGTAGGTAATTTACACAAGGCAAGCCTCGTAAAACTAATAATAAGCGCGCTGAGTTTGACAAAGACTTACACGCATATAGTCGAGGCTCGATCGCTAACTTAGTATAGCCCACGGGAGGGGTTAGAAAGAGTTATCTACTGCATACATAGGCATAGCAGGCACCAACCCATTCTTTGCAGTCCCACGGGAGGAGCCTTACGATGCGGGAACGTCCTAATCTACAATACATAGCATCGTATGGTTGATAACACTAAGAGAGTATTATAGGTTTGGGGTCCGATAAGAGGTACCTAAGGTAAACAAACGACCTTGTACAGAAACCAACTCTGGAGGTAGTATCTAGCCTAGGTACCACAAGCCGACCACCGTGGCGCGGGAACCGTGAGGCCGAAAAGAAGGTGCTTACTTTCTAGAAGCCTCGTCGGTCGAATGTCGGCGCTTTTCACACGAGGAAATCTCTCGCCAGATCGGTTTGATTGGGAGCGAGAGAGTGCTGACGGGTTAACCCCAAGTAACCCCAAGAAGAGGGGCCCTCAGCCTTACCATGACCTGAAAGTCGCCTGTTCTGTGTACCTACTATGTAAGGTATGTAAAACGGGCATGACTGGCATACGCGCAGTTAAGTGCTTACATTTGCCAGTTCTAGGGGTATTTTAACCAGTACTTTGCTACGTATACGCACCCCAGACCTATGTATGTACGAATAGGTGCTCGAGAGATGCCCAGATTCCCAGATTGTAGGTATCTTTTTAATTAAGACTCACCTCGCTATCTCGTCATCGACATCGACATCTTCGTTAATATCTGACTGCTACCATATATAAATTGAAATTCTTCAGCATGATCTCATCCCACTCTTTTCTTCTTTATTTTTGCCCGATCAGCTCGCAAGTTCTAACCCCATACACACACGCGATGCTACATACTCACAGGACACACACCTATCTACCTGGTAAATACCTACGTATTCGATATTAACTAACAACCGACAGTCTGGAATGGGAGTGGCGGTCAGCCTATGACTTTCGGGTCTTGCTGGTCTTAAGCGCCGTCCCTGGCCCCCTCTCCAAGACGTCCGCTGAACCTGCAGCACTACAACGGCCAGTCAGATCCCCTGTTCCCCTGTTAGGCGTGGAGATCACCACCTGCAGCCCGCCGTTGTGTACCCACGCCCATGCGACTCTGTCGTTCTTGCGGTGTACCTAGCAAAACCACTGGAATTTCCCCCGTTGGTTGGAGTTTGCCGGTGCCACACACGTTATATGCAGCTGTCGACGACTTCTCTGGTTTCAATTATCTGAAACAGTCCCGAGGGTTGCAACAACAACGACAAACGACATGTCTTCTGGCTTACGTTAGATATCTCTAAGCTAAGGTAAGGCGACCAACTGAGTGCGACGAGATAAAATATCGCGATGCCAAAACCCGACATTTTTTATTATATTGAGTTACTTTCTACAGCTCTGCCGCGGTGCATACGCCGTTGGTAAATTAGGAGCCAATCCCATGCCAAAGAGAGACTTTACTGGTACTAGCACAATTAAACCACGGTACCAACATTCTAGCATCTAATACTATGTAAGCAGGCAGCATATATCTACATTCCTTGTCATGTGTAGATCTGCACCCCCTGACGCCGGTAACGACCACATCTCTACCGAGATTCATCTATTCACCATGGGGTTCTGTCCCCGCGATATGAGAGATGATTTTCAACTTTATGTAGGTCGCAATATTAACTCGCCCTGTAGCATTCTTCCTTTGTAACCGAACCGCATCTGCCTATCTAATCTATACCTACGATCGACAGCCTGCTTACCTTTTATCTAAAGTAGAAGGGCTGTCATCAACATGAGAGCAACCTTAATGCCCAAAATGAGAATAGTAGACGGTAGCCTACAAGATCCTGATATCATGGTTGTATTTTCATATGATGCTAAGTTCAGGTTGGATACGACCCACCACTTCAACAAGCGCTGTCGTCCTCTAAATTGAGGGAGCTAGAAGCTCACATGAGCCTATGTCAGATTAATCATGCACCGAATTAGGGGACCCCAACTGTTCGAACAAATCTGTCTACCTCATATGCTGGAGGAGCATTATCTCCTAACCGTAACAACCCCAGCTTAGGAAGTCCTCGTGACGCAGAACTCGGTCATATCAGAGCATGTTCCGGTCCCGAGACGACGGGAATTTCACGAACTGTAATCTGACGCTTCCATGCAATGCAACCACATTGCGTGGCAACTGGCATATATCACGCCACGCTCAAGACGTTCTAAGGCCATGCAGAAACCCAGATTCCGCTCCTGGTGTTGATTACTTGCGTTATGTAAGTGACTAGGCTAAAGGATCGTGAGCCCTACTTCGCTCTGCTTTGCCCTACCTGGTGTAGCCTTGAATTTCGAAGCCTTTACGCCCCCAATTCCCAATTCAGCTGAATACCTAACATGTGTATACCAATGCCAGTATTTGTTCTATAGCACTTGTATCATGAAGATAGGGCCAAACGCTTACGGGGGTTGGAAGCACAAAGGCATGACGTATGTAGGTCTGATGCCGAAGTCGTTCCTATATACATGCATAGGTACCTACTCCTGTCTAATATCTTGCCAGGGTATGATAGGATCACATGTAGACCTTGCTGAGCGGTACTATTCCGTTCTTACCGTTCTTACCCGTCTATATAGCCGTCTTAAGCCATTTGCACGGAAATGTATCTGGTGCTCGAGCCGTCATGCGCAACTTCAACTCGACTGACTCATGCTAGTGGGTAAAAATCCTTCATCTTCGTACCAGTTACAATGGAACTCAGATATTTGCCTCCTACATAGGACCCATCAACTCAAATAATAAACAACG